TACACTGCAGTACAGTGGTACTACACAGCACTGTACACTGCAGTACTGTGGTACTACATGTCACTGTACACTTTAGAACCACTGTACTGTTTTATTATGGGATGGTGTGTTTTTTTAATCAAACTAAATATTTGTGAAGTCTGTCACCTGTTTGCTTACAGTTGAGCCAAAGAGTGGGAGGGGCTTAGTGACAGCTATTTAGCGGGTGTGTTGTCACCTGTGTGTGTCTTCAGGCTGCAGTAGACAAAGTGAAGGAAGCCGATCGTTTGGTTTCTACAGGAAAAATCAGCAGCAGCGACAGGAAGTACATAAACCAACGCATCAGTGGCATGAGCTACGCACTGCAGGGTAACAGTACTACACATAGTACCCCTTAATACTACACACAGGACTTCAATGAGTACTCCACAGAGCACTGTCACTGAGCATGTGCAGACTAACTCCACACCTCCTGTCTCTTCTAGCTGAGATGAATCATTTCCATAGCAACCGTATCTACGACTATAACCGAGTGATGCAGCTCTACCTGGAGCAGCAGGCCACCTTCTACCAACAGGTTAGCTCAGGGGTGAGGGGGCGGGGTCAGGAAAGACTTGCTAATGTGACATCTCCTGCCTGCTCTCTGATTGGACAGATCGCAGACAAGCTGAGAGAAGCTCTGAGTCGTTTCACCACGCTGTGAAGGTGGAGCCTGATGATGTAAGCGTCACATGACCCGGTCCGCTCCAGATGTAACAAAATAAAATCTTGTTGTGAGGACAAAACACTAACTTTATATTCTGTTGTATTTATGAACTTTAAAAAAAAAACGTTGATTTTTTTCTAACAATAAATAATCTTTCTACCTCGATGTTCTGTGTTGTGGTGGTGTTCTGGTGCCGCTGATGGTCTGTAAGAGGTGACCTGAAACAGGACCTGGGTTTCAAATGGATCTCTGTTTCTAACAGGATCAGGGCTCAATCAGGATCATTTTATAATCCAGTGCAGCAGTGAAAATCTGAGGATGAGAAGATAACTGTCTTGACTCACTAAAATAAACAACAACAGCAATGCAGCAGAAATACTGAAACAAGGTGCCAAAAGTTAAAAGTACATGGTCTATAGTGTGGTTCCATCAGCAGTGAGGTTCTTGCGGTGCGGTCTTGTTAGCAGCATTAGCAGGTCCTGCTAGCAGCTTGATGATAATAAGGACCACAGCAGTTGCCCTCCAGAACCGGGTCTGGCAGACACAACATCCGAGGTTTCCCCTGCGGAGCTGCATGGGTCCGTAGAGCTCTGTCCGTGCAGGCAGGTGGAGGATGACGGAGATGGCCACCATGACAGGCCGGAGCCCAAGGCTGGAGGGGGGCCAGGAACTGAACCATGATAGAACTGAACCACGACGACAAGGCAGCAGCCCAAAAACTCCACAAGTGTGTCACGGTCATACCCGTAGCGTGGGTGTGCAGTGTAGGCACAAAAAAGCTAAAACAAGACCTAGAGGAACAAAAAAAGATGGAGTCGAAGCGGAGCTCCCGTCAGTGCGGCCATGCTGCGGCGCTCGTTCCATCACACCCTAGTCCTCCGTAGAGTTCTAAAAGATTGCCGGGCGCTCTGGTCACGTGACCCTGTGGTTCATTGGAGCTTTGGTGACCTTTAACAAAACGGCCAAATGTGTGCACTCGGTGTTTTGAAGAGCTGACTACTGTTTGACTCTAAAACAAGTGTCTGTAATAAAATAATATCAACCGTCAGAAATCTATTCTGCTGCTGGAGCAACAGAAAAGGGAAAACGTGTCTCCTTCCACATATGGCAGCAGACTGGATCTTACTGACTCGATCTGACCACGACTGAAGCTGATAATGGACCACACGGTGGTGCTGGAGCACAGGATGTTCTGCACCACACTGCTGTAGGAGGAGTTCAGGACTGAGCTGTCAAGACCTGCAGAGGCGTGATGTGCCTTCCTAACCAGGCTGGAAGCGTTGTTGCTCCATGTTAGGTTTTCAAGTACCTGAAGCTGGACCCCACTTCCACCGCTGTTCCTCCTGTACAGGTGTCTGTCCCTTCTGAAGTCTATGGTCATCTCTGTGGTCTTCACCTTGTAAAGGTCATTTTATTTGCACCAGCCCTTCAGATGTTCCACCTCCTGTTTGTAGCCAAACTCCTTGTTGGTGATGCATCCAACCAAAGATGTGTCATCTGTGAACTTTCCAGCATGACGGACAGTGTTGCTGAGTAGGGTGGACAAGAGGTGCTGGGGGAGGAGGACAAGTTGTAGCTCTTCACTGACTGCGGCCTGTTCATCAGGAAGTCATGGACCCAGCAGTAGAAGAGGAGGCTCCACCCAAATGTCAGTTTGTGGAGCAAAGTGATGCGTTAGATTCCTTCACTGATTGGACATGGCCCAGTGGTTTGGAGAGCTCCTTTCATGTGTTTGTTCCTTTGTCTTTGTGGGGACATGTTCGGTCCAATGGTCTAGAGCAGCTCTATTCAACTGGCAGCCTGTGGGTGATTGCAGTCCGGCCCACGAATGAGTTCATTAAAAAATAATAATTTGGTGGGGGGTTCAGAGTTTGGGTTTTGTTTATTACATTTATGATTCAATGCAATAAAACAAACAAATTTAAAAGGTAGCAGATCAAAACCTCAGTGATGAGGCATGTCCACCTGTCCCAAAAAACAACGTATTGTCGTTAGCACCTTCTATGGTGAACTTGATGTCAATAAAGTTGATGTGACTGATGAAACTGTGGATTTTGACTTGTCCACTTTCTGAACCAGTGGCTTGGTGACTATGACCCTCATGACCTCAGGAGGGAGGGGAGAAAGACAAAGACCCTGATGACCCTTAGGAGGGAGGACAGGGAGACAAAGACCCTGATGACCCTCAGGAGGGAGGGGAGGGAGAC